GATATTTTAGGGTTAAAACATGTGTTATCACTTATATGCACGAGAAGCCTTCACTAGATCACACAACCGAATCATAGCTGAATTTCGATGTATGATTTGGGCACTTCAGAGTCTCCAAGACTTGCAGTTCAAGGAAGTGGTGATCGCATCCGACTGCCATGCCACTCATGCTGCTCTGATGAAACCTAATGAGTGGCCACGGTACATAACTTTCATTGAACAAATCCACCGCCTTCTAACAAGTTTGAGAGTTGCGTTTTTTAGTTGGAAACTCATGTGACAAATAGAGTAGCACGCGAGATAGCAAAGAGCGTCACTAAAGATGGGAGGTTCACTGCATATCTCGCTTCGGGTGGACCGGCATGGCTCCATGATCTTATTGCTCGAGATGCAAGCTAAAGTACCTTATATCCCTCTCTTTGGGCATCGATACTTGTGGTTTTCTTTTATATTATGTTTGGGTTTTTGGCTTTCTTATGCTCTGAATTTTGGTTTGCTTACGATCATTTATAATAATCTAGACGGTTAAAAAAAATTAACTATTAATCCTCTCAACTGATATATTTATCTTCTTTTTATTGTTTCTCCTCTTTTAAAGTATTGATAGCCAAATCAAAACACTGTAATTATTCGGATTAAGCTGTACATTTTATCCATCCTCGGCATGAACAAGCTTGACTACAACATACGGTGTGAGCTATTTGAAACACAATGTCTGAATTTTGCAATTACAGAATACAAAAATTTCTGACAAATTTATTCCGTAAAAATTTTTTGACGGTGTCTGTATTTTGACGATCTAGAACCGGCTATCAAAATTTGTCGAAAATCCGTCGAAATTAGTTACTCATTTTTTGTTTTTGTAGTATTGGTGTGACATGTTGACGACCCCTAACATATAATTTTACACAACCTTATTTGTAAAGGATCAACCAATCCATGGGCTTGATTCAGGCTTTCTAAGTGTCAAATTATTTTCACATCCTAAGGTTGGGTGGCATTTTGTTGATTTTCATTGTTCATTTGGAGCCAATAATTATGAAGGACATGCTAATGAAATACTAAAATGTAAAATTGTGTATATACTTTTTTTCATATTCTTATATCGTGAATATTCGTACCTGCCAAGTGCAGAATAATGGATCCAAAACGTGCTATTGATAGAGAACTGATCCTTTCTTGTTTAAACAAAATTATATGCAAAGAAACTAATGAAAGTGATTCCACCAGAAGCTAAGTGGTAAAATGGTAACAGTGCAAAGGACACAAAATATAATTATACGCACTTGCGTCAAGAAATATTCCATGAACTAAAATAAATTAGAAAATAAGTTAATAAAAAAGGAAAAAGAGTGTGGTGGTTTGTGACCAAAAAAATAAAAAAAAAAGCTAAAAGCAAAATCGAACCAATAATCACTCTACCCAACAGTGTCGGTATATCATGACTCATTAATCATTTAGATAGTTTATACTTTATATGGGAAAGAATTAGATGCATCAACATTTTTATCAAAAAAAAAAAAACACTAGATGCATCAACACCTCTCCTAGAGTTAGGCGACGGAAAATATATGGGAATATTTATAAATGTGCTTTGGACATTTATATATAAAAAAGCTTATACAACTGATGAAGAAAGTACAAAATTATAACTGTTAATTTTGAGTAACAGTTGAAGTATATCATAGCAGCTACTAATTTCTCAAAGATAGCGGCTAGAATTTTCTTGTGATGATATCATCACCTACATTATTTTATGAACTCGTGAAAACCTTTGTACCATCGAAACACCGCCTCAATTCTCCTAGCTTCGAATAAGAACAATCTTTCGGATTCGAGGCCTAATTTCGAGTTGTGATATTGTTCATAAAAAGTTTCAAAAAAAAAAAGATATTGTTCATAAAATCATCAATAATATGCCTTATGCTTCACAAACTGATGGTTGAAGATTTTTGATTCGTACAAAAGATCTGATAAAATATAAACTTCAACCATAATAAGAAGAGTAAACGTACACCAAAGTAACCAACTGAAATTTCTATATATTTTTACTACAAAATAAATATAAGACCTAAATATTAACATTTTCATTAGTAGGGATAATGCATTATAGCTATTATGTCAACAATGTTTTTTTGATTAAATTTATAGGAACCAATTGATTGCTTCCAAAATTAACTACGTTGTTGGAATCAAGAAAATGAATCGAATGAGAATATTGATACACCGTGCGTTCGAGTTCGATCAAATATGAAAATCCACTACACTAAAACTATTTTATTTATATTTACTAGTTAAATTATGTGAAAATCAAATAGAGATTCTCAAATTTGTGCATCTTTTTGCTTCTAGTTGATAAGGTAGAGAAATAGGGCCCATAATTTCAAGGTAGAGTATGGCAACTTGTCTCCAAATATATAACAAACAAAAACAATAACATACACGTATAAGTTTCCGTAGAGAAAAGAATGTTCACATCACATCTTTTATCTATATATAAAGAGAGATAACCAAGACAATCATAACAACTCATTCAATTAAAACAAACCTCCCCATACATCTATTGCTACTACTTTAAAATATAATCAAAACAGAGAGAGATTGTTGATCTTAAACTATTAAGATGGAGGAAGTAAAGAAGAGGGATTGTATGGAGAAGGCAAGACCATTCATTTCAGTGGTATTGTTGCAAGTAGGGCTTGCGGGAATGGACATTCTCTCAAAGGCCGCCCTAAACAAAGGCATGAGCAATTACGTCCTTGTCGTCTACCGTCACGCCGTTGCTACCGTCGTTATGGCCCCGTTTGCCTTATATTTTGACAAGTACTTTCTTCTTTCTCTTCTTTATATTAACTTCTTTGACAAACATAGTTCAATTGTTTTGTCTGAGTAGTTTCGAGACCATCAGAGTAGAATATCATCTAGTTTGATCTATATTGGAACTGAGTTTGTACTACTAAATTGTTAGTGTTAATGTTTCCATGTTACATAACAAGAAAACGTATATGCAAATGCTAAGAAACAATTGATACATCGTTTTTTTTCATCTGAATCGAACTTTTATAAAACTGAATTCACTACAGCAAACAACTGCATACATCTACAAAATGGATTATAAATTAAAACCACGAAAGATC